TGGTAGCATAGTGCCTAAGGCACTTGATTGCTAACCAGAAGGCTGGCGGTTCAAACCCACCAGCCACTCCTCGGAAGGAAGGTTGGGCAATCTACTTCTGCAGTGATATTGCCTTGGAAACCCAAGGAGGGGTCGCTATGAGTTGGGGCCGACTCAACAGCACACAATAACACAACAACAGGGAAGTAACAGGTTACCATTCAGGATGAGAGATGATTTAGCATACAGTTCTTTGGTCACAACCCCTTTCCAGTCATCCCCACAGGCAGGGCTCTCCCTCAGCCCCTCGGTGCCTAGGTGCTCGCCTTGGCCTCCCCACTCTACAAAGCTAAGGAGTTCCACTGAGCTTACCACCAGAGGCCCCCCACGCCACCAGGAAGCCTCCTGCCCAAATGTTCTTAGCTCTCTCACTCCACAGGTTGACACACGCACTGTAACTGCCTTACTCCATGGGCCGGGAAGCCCACCTGTCTCATGCCAGTCTGTGATGCACTCAATTACTTACCATGGCTCTTCCAGGCATGGTCTTTGTGACTCCCACCAGATGACTGGGTGGGACTATGCAAATGGAGATCCGATAGTTTACAGCCCTGATGTCAGGTAAGGGAGTTTCCCTGAGGTATGGCCTACAACACCTTTTATTTTACAAGAGATAAAGGAAAGAGGAGTGGGTGTGTTGCAGGGGATGGGGATGGGTCGGGACTGGCTGGGACCTACTACCACCAGGAAAGAAGAGCCGGGACTGGGGTGTGTTCTTCAGACCCAAGGTCCCTGCCCTGGGAACCTCTCAGGACCAAGAGACACAGAGAGGGTAAGCCTTCCCCTAGAGTCGCTGCTCTGAATCTGACTTCCAGCCGCCTAAACTGTGAGAGAATAAATCTGTTTGTTATAACCATCCACCTGTGGTATTTCCGCTACAGCAGCACTAGAGAAATGAGAGAGACAGCAGCGGCAGAAGGAAAAGTTAGTATTTGGGGGCAGGAGGCGTCCTGGAAGAGTAGGTGCCTCTGGGCACTTACAAGAGTTCAAAGAGCTTTGTAACACCTGCCTGAGCAGGACAGAGACTGGGCCGAGGGGCCAAGAGGCCACAGAGAGGCCTGTCTACAGGCACCACTGAGCTCATGGTCCTGACAGAAGAACTGTGTCCTGATTCATTCCAGATCCTGAATTGTAACCTGTTACTTCCCTACTAAACCGCACAATCATGAGTGATGTGTGTGTTCTGTGTAGGCATTGCCGCAAATGATCACAGCCAGCAGAGAAGTAGTGAGTGCCGCGGGAGGGTCAGCTGGTGTCAGAACTGGTAAAAGCGTTGGCGAGAGGATGTGTGTCCGTCCCCTGCTTCATAGGAATCAATCAGCCTCGGGCTGTTGATCTCAATTTTCCTTCCCTTGGTGAAGTCAGAGGAGCTCAGACGCCTTTGGCATGCCGTTTCTAAACTAACAAATTGGGGTAAGGGTCATCCTGCCAAAGAAATGAATAATTAACAAAACAGACCGTCAGGACAAGTGTGTCAAGCTTTACAGTCTCTCACACGACACACTGACACAGACGTAAGGGCGTGGCTGGATTAGTCTCCCAATCAGTAGTCAGCAAACTACCAGAAGACAGGAGAAAAGGCACGAGTCTCTAAATGAAGGGTTTCGAACCACGGTCCCAAAGTCGACGTTAAAACCTCAACTCAACCACCAGTCGAAGGTCTTGTGTTTCCCAAGCTCCAGGCCTCACGAGCCTCCCTGCACCAGAGACACACACCACGCCAGCTCCGTATTAATGCGAAACCTTGACCATCCTCACCCCACCGCACTCCTGGAGCCAGTATCACTGCGCGGAATATGACACCACGAACTCGAACCAGACGGCGCAGTCGTCGTAATCACCTCCTTCACCCCCTGCAAGCAGACTGAGCCTGAGACCCTGTGCCCTTAATCGCTGTACGAAGGCGCTCAACCCACGTCTGACCCTAAGGCACCGACTCCCACCTGCTTCCGCTCAAGCACCTCCACGCCGGCGCTCCCCTCAGGAACTCTAAGTGTCCTCACGACACCGCGTCCCCACACCTCCCTCGCTCTGTTCTAAGGAAAAAACACACTCACCTGTTTTTCTCCCGAATCAAAAATTCCCAAACGTTCCACGCACTTCGCTGAACTGCTTCTACTTCTCGATCCCTCGCCCAGTGCCCTTGTCCGCCTACGGAGTCCGGCGAGGGTCTAGCATCTTGAAAGAGCGCGAACAACGGGATTTCTGGAGTTACCGAGGAAGTACCACGTCTGCGCCCTTCTTACCGCGTCTCCTGGAGGCGGCCATATTGGAATGCCCGCCGTACGGAAGACAAAGGGCAAAGGGCAAAGGTTTTCCGTGACAGTAGCCACAGCTGCTGGGGAAGACGAGAACGCCACTGAAACACTCCGGTGTCCTGGTCTCCCGAACCCTGCAGAAAATAGATAAGACTTCCAGTGGCTCGAACTTTAAAGGGGATATATAGTGCGCATCAAATTGATGTCAGTAGGCTGGGCTGAAAGTAACAGGCCCCGGGCACTTAAAATACCTTTATTTAAAAAAAGAAAAAAGAAAAGAAAGAAAGAAAGAAACTTTGCAATTGGATAAGTGAAAGTTCAAGTATCTGTACAGCAGAGAAGTGCTCCTGGGAAAAGAAAGGCAAAAGCAAGAGGCTGGTAAGAGGACCATCAGAGAAAGTTTCTTTCTGAAATCAGGCTGACAGGAAGGGCCTTTAAGGACAGAAAAAGGTTGGAAAACTAGTCCTTAATGAGAGTGGCCATCATAGGGCAAAAGAGCGAGTGGGATAAGCCTAAGTTATATTTGGAGTGGGGAGAGAAAGAGCTGTGGTGGCTTAGAGGTTAAAGGGCTCAGCTGCTAACCCACAGGGGAGGGAGAGTTGGAACCCATCCACCGCTTTGAGGGAGAAAGCTATGGCAGCCACCTTCCCTAAAGATTTAAAGCCTTGGAAACCCTATGGGGCAGTTCTACTCTGTCCTGTGTTGTTAGGTGCCGTGGAGTTGGTTCAGATTCACAGTGACCCTCTGAACAGCACAATGGGACACTGCCTCGTCTTGCCCCATTCTCACAGTCCTTGCTATGCTTGAGACCATCTTTGCAGCCACTGTGTCCATCCATCTCATTGAGGGTCTTCCCCCTTTTCCGCTGATGCTCTGCTTTTCCCAGCTTGATGGTCTTCTACAGCGAATGGTCTCTTCTGACAACATTACCAAAGTATGAGAGAGGAAGTCTAGACATTCCCACTTCTAAAGAACATTCTGGCTGAACTTCCCCCAAGACAGATTTTCTAGCTGCTGCTGCTGTTGTTATGTGCCATCGAGTTGGACCCAACTCATAGCGACCCCTCCTTGGGTTTCCGAGGCAGTATCACTACAGAAGTAGATTGCCCCATCTTCCTTCCGAGGAGTGGCTGGTGGGTTTGAACCGTCAGCCTTCTGGTTAGCAGTCAAGTGCCTTAGGCACTACGCTACCAGAGCTCCTGCAGTTCATGGTAAATTCAATGTTCTTCCCCAGCACCACTATTCAAATGCATCAACTCTTCTGTGGTGTTCCTTATGCATTGTCCAGCCCTCACATGCACACAAGGCAATTGAAAACACCATGGCTTGGGTCCAGTGCATCTTAGTTTTCCAAATGACATCTTTATACTTTAAAGAGGTCTTCTGCAGCAGAGTTTGCCCAACACAGTAAGTTATTTGATTTCTTGACTGCTGCTTTTATGGACTCTAATGGTGGATCTAAGTAAAATGGAATTTTTGACAACTTCAGTGGTTTCTCCATTTATCATGATGTTGCTTACTGGTCCAGTTGTGACAATTTTTATTTTCTTTATGTTAAGGTGTCATCCATACTGAAGGCTGTAATCTTTGATCTTCATCAGTAAGTGATTCAAGTCTTCATTTTCAGCAAGCAAGGTTGTGCCATCAGCATATCACAGGTTGTTAATGAGTCATCCTCCAATCCTGATGCCACATTCATCTTCATATAATCCAGCTTCTCTGATTATTTGCTCAGCATAACCACCGAATAAGTATGGTGAAAGATACAACCTTAGTTGACTCTGTGGAAATAGCTTAATGGAGAAAGGCCACTAAAATTGAAGCAAATAAAAGGCAGATAAGCTCACCAGATCCCTATCTGTTCCCATTCCAAAGAAAGGTGATCCCACAGAATGTGGAAATTATCGAACAGTATCATTAATATCACATGCTGGTAGCATAGTGCCTAAAGCACTTGACTGCTAACCAGAAGGCTGGCAGTTCAAACCCACCAGCCACTTCTCAGAAGATGGGGCAATCTACTTCCATAGTGATACTGCCTCGGAAACCCAAGGAGGGGTGGCTATGAGTCGGATCCGACTCAACGGCACATAACAACAACAGTAAAAGTTTGATAATTCAAAAACGGTTGCAGCAGTATATTGACAGAAAACTTCCAGAAATGCAAGCTGGACTCAGAAGAGGATGTGGAAGGTGGGATATCATTGGTGATGTCAGATGGATCTTGGCTGAAAGCAAAGAATACCAGAAAGATGTTTGTGTTTTATTGACTATGCAAAAGCATTCAATTGTGTAGATCATGTTATGGATAACATAATGAGAATGGGAGTTCCAGAACACTTAATTGTGTTCATGAGGAACCTGTAAATAGACCAGGAAGCTGTTGTTCGAACAGAACAAGGGGATACTGCAGGGTTTTAAATCAGGATGGAGGGAGACAGGGTTGTATCCTTTCACCACTTCTTCAATCTGTATGCTGACCAAATAATCCAAGAAGCTGGACTATATGAAGAAGAGTGGGGCATCAGGATTGGGAAAAGACTCATTAAGAACCTATGATATGCAGACAACACAACCTTGCTTGCTGAATGTGAAGGTGACCTGAAGCACTTACTGATGAAGATTAAAGACTAGTCTGCAGTATGGATTACACCTTTGCTGAAGAGCAAAGATGTCTGTAAGGCTAAGGTGCAGCTAACCCAAGCCATGGTGTTTTCAATCACCTCATAGCACGTGAAAGCTGGATAATGAATAAGAAAGACTAAAAAGAGTTGATGCTTTTAAGTTGTGGTGGCAAAGACTACTGAAAGTACCATGAATTTCCAGAACAAACAAATCTGTTCTAGAAGAAGTGCAGCTGGAATGCTCCTTGGAAGCAAGAATGACCAGGCTTCATCTCACCTACCTTGGTCATGTTGTCAGAAGGGACCATCCTGGAGAAGGATATTATGCTTGGTAAAGTAGAGGGTCAGCAAATAAGGGGAAAGCCCTTGACAAGATGGATTGACACAGGGGCTGGAACAATGGGCTCAGATATAGTAAGGATTGTGAGGCTGGCATAGGACCGGGCAGTGTTGCATTCTGCTATACACAGGGTCTCTATGAGTCGAGCCAACTCAATGGCACTTCACCACCAACCACCACTCAGTAATCTGGTGGGATTCACAAAGACCGTGGTGAGAAAATCCATACCAAGTAATTCACGGCACCACCAATTAATAATAAGAATCATGTGTCAACTCAGTAAGTCATGGATGATCCAAAGTCTTGAAATGGTGCTAACTCCCACAGGTGGTATAAAGGTTTACCTAAAAGACAATCCAAAATTTCACCTGCTCCCATCACATAGTTTCATCCATTCATAGAGACTAAGGTTCTTTCCTTGTTTTGTATCTCACTTATCTAGGAGATTCTTCTTTTCTGCCACCTTTTTATTTTTAGAGTTAATGTCTTGTGAGAACGTTTCTGGGAGAGAGTTCCATGCTGTAAAGTGCTCTCCAGTGGCTCCATCATTTCAAATACAAAACAAAGCTTGATTAATTCATAAGAGCATCCAGCCATTTTCCAAATCACTACATAATTATTTTTCAGTATGCTGAGAAATATAAAATCACAACGTGGTGTTCTTTCTGGGATAGTGACAATGATTGCATCTTCTTTCCGTATACACTTTCCAGCCATGTAAAGAGCTAGAAACTCTTGCTCATTGTCTGTGCTGTCCAAATGGTGAGGGAGGGGTTAAGACATTTGGTTGCTAAGCAAAAGTTTGGTGGTTCGATCCCACCAGCTGCTCCATGGAAGAAAAATGAGGTGTTCTGCTTCCATAAAGATTCATAGTCTTGAAAACCCAAGGGGGTCACTATGAGTTGGAACTGACTCAATGGCAGTGCATTTGGTTTCTCAGTCATGCAATGCCATTAACTGAAATGTAGTTAGTGTGATTACGGAGCTGCATTTTTAAATTTTTTCCCCCTAACTTTAAAACTTAAGTCACAAAAACCATAAAGGAATTTATTATCTGTTTGGGGACAGTCACAAACATGATCAAGAAATTTAATATCTACATGGGAAGACAAGACATGGACACTAATAGAAATATTCATAGACATTTTTAGGTTATTCTAACCAAACCCCTTATACCAATTATTCCATGCCAACTTCACGTAATGTAGATATTGCATCTTGGCTAAACTATAGATTCCACTTACATGTAATTCAACTGAATGCTCTCTCCAAGAAGGCATGGACTTTTTCTTTTTCACTACTATATCCTCTCTTCTGGAAAAAGGACCACAGGCAAAGGAATTATGTATCAAACCTATGTTAATTAATAGATTCCATGTAGGCTATTTATTAGAAAGATGCCTATGCATAATATAATGCTCTAAAAGCTTATGGTAGACATTGTGGTTTCCAAAGAATCTTACACATTGAGCTGGGGAAACTGAACTGATACATGTGTGCCTCGGTTTCCACCAACTCAGTATTCCCCCTTTCCTACCAACCACCTCCTATGTGGCTTTCAATTATAACAACATAACAGGTACCAATATTTTCTGTTTTTTAAATTCACAGAATTTATTTCCTCCACTGAGATGAACTCAGATTTCATCTATTTATTTGGCACAACACAGTAATCAATGTGTGTATGTCTGGATTAACATCAGATTATGCCTCAGTATCAACATACATATTTATGAAGGATGAGTGTTTCAGTCTCTGCATTCATATGATTTCCCTCAGGATATACTTTGTAACCAAAGAGGCAGAAATCTGGCCCAGCCCAATTAACCACTGAATGAATATGAGGCTACCCTACATATTTTCTGTGACATTAGATGAAATCAGTCACTAAAGGCATTACCATATTCATCGCATTCATAAGATTTCACTGCAGTACAAATTCTATTATCTACTAATGTTTCACTCCTGGCACCAGGGTGCCCTACAAAGACTACGTTCCTATCTGTTAGGAGCCCACTGATATGTACTGACGTCTCAGATGCCACAGAGGGCATCTGCACAGTCACTGTACTAACAGGGCTTTTCTCCTGCATGACATCACTGATATGTACATATC